GAGAATGAGGGAGCACGGAGAATCCGCTGCAGACGGTAAAGTGACGGAGGCTTTACGGAGAGGAGGGGGAGTGAGAACGCGAGAGAATGAAACGGAGGCGAGAGAGGAAACACAAAGAGCAGAGAAGCAAGGATAAGGGAGATGGGGCGGGGCCAGGGGAGGGGAGGGACGGGAGAGGGGAGGAGAGGGGAGCGAGCCGGCCGTCACGTAGACACCAGTTCGTGCAAGTTCGGGCCTGCGCTCGGCTCTCTTCGGGTCGCGCTCGGCTCCGTTCGGCCCCAGCGAGAGGTGGGGGAAGGACGAGGTGAAGGAGAGGAGAGGGGGGAGGGCGCTCAGCTGGGCTGGCTGACTGCCGGCTCCCCTGCCCTGTTGCCTGACAGTTGGTGCCGGGAGTTCGGACTGAGCAGACGAGAGTCGCTTACGCCCGCTGCCACAGTTTCTTTCCGTGTTCTTTGTTCTTTGTCAGTACAAGTCGAAAAATTTTCTAGTGTGTGACCTTTTCGCTTCGGCGACATAGCAATTGGATAGAACCATGGAGGTTTTGCCGTGCCCAGTTAAAATCAACACGAATTTGCGTTATGAGGGTGAGTTATCGAAAACGTTTTGTGACTTAGAAATTTTACTGGGTCAATTCGTCAAAGAGTGATGTCTTTTTTAAAAAGTGGCCGAAACTACTAGTTTTTTCTCGCCTGCCTTAATTTAAATTCGTTCGCGGTGAAGATTTTCCCTGGGGAAGTCCAGCTTTGCCGACTCCTACCAGCCGTCTCTTTGTCCTTCGTCCTTCGACGCCGGCCGGCTCATTTGCTACGCCAAACAGTTTCGTTTTGTCAGGCCGACATTGCATTTCTGCATTCTTCTATCAATTCAACAATGCCGCGAGCGCTTCTCTCCCCTTTTTTTGGCCACATTATATTTTTTCGGACCATCTTTTGGGTCTTAGTGTCGGTCTTATCCTGTCACATCTCAAAGTTTCATCAGCCTGTTTCGTCAGGCAATGGTCCTCGAGTCACCCAAGAGTACTGTTTTAGTTTGTACAAGTTTATTTGGGATACATTTGGCCGTTCTTCACGAGAAACATTGTGACTTAAAGAAAATAATCGATGATTGATCTGTGCATTCTCTGGTTATTATCCACTGGATGCTCGGCATCATTGCTGGTGCTGATGGATGCCCCGCCTCATTCACGCGAATCCTGATCGCTCGTTTTCATTAAACTTTTCTTATTATTGCCAACGCTCTTATTCGCGTCTGGTTCAATTTTTTTTCAACGCGGTGCTCTCCTGCCCCCTAGTGTGTGCAAGTGGCCTCAACGACTATCGTACAGTAAAATAACGTTGGGATTTTGATGTCTTTTTCGAGCAAATAATCCAAATCTGTGAGGAAACATGGCTCGGTGCAGCGGCGCGGCGGGTTGCGTGTTCGTGCAAGTCTGAACCGGCTGGGGCGCCGGTCGGCCCGGCCGGCCGTACAGTACTCTGGGCCGCGGCGCCGCGCCGGTGGAGCCCACGGCGGAGGCCACGGTGAAGCCCCACCGCACCGCACGCTGCCTTTTCTTCCGGACTCCCCCAATTTCTCTGTTGACCCACTCTTGACTTCGCCTGGGAAAAAGATGAGCTTGTTCGGTTTCTGACGTGGTCCTTCCCCGCTTGTGTTGCAGGTGGATACCAAGCTGCCGACGAGGGCGATGACTGCGCCGCCGTGTCGGCCCTGGCCAGGCGCCTGGAGGACGAGCTGAGAGCCGCCAAGTCGGCCCAGCTGGCCTGCGGCGAGGTGCTGCTCCCCGCCGATCTGCTGCCCAGGGTGGCCCGGGACGTGGTCCGGATGGCTGAGAACGAGCCCTGTGGACTTAGGTGAGTGTCGTACTACTGTACTTTCGTGTACCCTGCCGGCCAGTCCGGCCTGTGTACGTTTACGTGTGTGTCAGGCCTCCATACTAACTTGATGTGTCTTTCTCTTTCAGGGGCTGTACGCTATTTATTAATTTTGAAAATGACCAAGTCTGCAGGAGACTTGGGCAGATCAAGTGTGACCCGAACACTGTTTCTACTTTTGAGCTGTTCTTGACTTTAAAGCAAGACAGTTCTAGTTGGCACAGCATCTTGCCACAGTTTCTTAAGTAAGTACTCTGACAAAAGTCTGCAAATTTATTAAATGTTGACTCTCTGAGCTTGACACTAACCCTTTCCTTCTTCTTGTTTTAGAAACTTGACCAGGGGCAGGACCATAATGATCAGCCCAGGGTTCACCTTAGAAAAGAAGAAACTCTACAGAAGCTACCTGGAGTGAGTGGAACTGAGCAGCACTCCAGGAGAGCAAAGACTGAAATCAAGCCCTCTCCCACCGGCCCAATGTTAAGTTATGTGTGTGTCTCTAAACAAGTTGAGTTTTTCCTCTGTTTTGTTTGGACTTATGTGATGTGATGATTCATTCTCTTGTAACTGGAGGATGTAATGTATCAGCTAAGATGAAAGAAGAATTTGTATTCTCTTAATTTGTAAGTTCTTGTTTAACATTTTGTTTTGAGGACAATGCTGATTATTTGCCATCGTATAGTAGCATTGCTTATTTCATTTTCTAATTTTTTCATATTGAAAATTGCTGAAAAAGTCGTCATGTGTTGTTTAAGGGGATAATAGTAATCATGAGTCGAAACACCATATCCTGTAATGAGTTTCAGGCCTCTCTGTATATAACCAGTGCTGGATTTTTATCACTTACTTTGTCTCTTAAGTTAAAATGTGATATTGTATCTCCTTGGTCTATGAACAAATTTGCAAAGTGATTAATTTTTTTATTTGTAAGTTCAAGGAGAGCTTATGGGGTTGTCCCCAGCAATGGAGGGGTGGGTGTGGGAGGGGAGGGGAGGAATCAGACCTGGACTCTGTGATTGGATAGTGGATACAGACGGTTTGATGACATCATGAACTACTGCCATCCCTTGATTTTGTGATTGTTGTATTTTAGTCATTGAATTTATTTTTTAGAATGAGGAGGGAAAATATAAAGAACATGTTGCATATTTGTAGATGAGATACAAGAGTAATTATGTTTTTGTGAGCTGTGTCCATGGCTTTATTTTTTATCAAATAATGTTGCAGCTTCTAATTTTTAACCTAGGTTACACCTCTTCCATTTTGGAAGGGGCGCCTTGTTTTTACTTGAGTGGATGATTGGTTGGAGTACGCTTCTGTTGAATTTGCTTTGGGTTTGGCAGTTGGGATGAGTTTGAAATCTTTAGTGGCCGAGCAAGGCAAACTGATGCATCCACAAACCAAAGAAGGATGTTTTAATTAATGGTTGATATGCCATGATCTCATTCAATATTTAATGATAGGCGTGGAGAAAATGGTTAAATTATTCACATTCATCATTCATTCATTCATTCATACATTAACTTTCTGTAAAGGCAAGTAGATTATTAGACTGGAAACTGAAATGTTGATTGAAGAAGGTCTATTTACTCATATAAACTGCTGTCAGTATGATAATTTTGAAACTTTGACATTGACTTAATGTTCCATTTTAACTATTTACACCAATTGATATGTGTGCTGTATCTCAAGGAGACATTTGTAAATTTCATGTAGAACGCTTACTGTAGATCCTGATCTATGCATTCGTGATATGCAAAAGAATGAGTTTTGTAGAAATGTGTTTGCAAGATTTTATTAAGGGTTGATGTGATAGAATATTACTTTAGTTAGTATCTGTGGTCCAGAGCAATGTCATTGTGCCTCTGGATAGAGGTGAAATAAAAATTCTGTGTTCTTAAGATTTTGAATTAAGCTTTATGTTAGATATCTGGTCAGCCAGTAGCCCAGTGATTGTGGGCCATTTCAAAAAGAATCGTATCATTTGTCCGTGTCTTAATCTGCTGCATTGAAGGAAAATTCACCAGGTATTATTTGTATCATCATTTTCTCCTGTTCATCCAGTATGCTTAGTCATTTAGTTACAACTTCAAATAACTTTTTTCACATCTTTTTTTATTTT